ACCAGCAAATCTCTGTGTGTAAAAGACATTCCTGCTAGCAGGAGTGAAGAACAGGACCTCACACTTCTCCGCTCCAGACTGTGAGTAATTCTTCTAAATGCATTTAATCAGCAAACTTCCTTTTCATGCTGCTTTTTTGCTGAGCTAGAGCCATTACTGCAAGCAGAATTATTCCCAAGGCCAGTAACATTCCTCCGTGGTGGCAGTTCCCTTTTGACTCCACACATCATCTGCCTTTCCCCAGCATTTTACCTCCCTAAAATTCTCCTACTAATTCCTTTCACCTCATCTTATCTAGCTGCCCTCCAGCCTTTACTGTATCAAATGCCCTACTAAACTCCAGCTAGATTAGATTTACCGATTGCTTTTTTTTCATCCAGGTAAGGGAAAGGAGGTAAAGAAAAGGATCAGGTTAAAGGCACACAGTGCTGTTGTTGATAAACCCATTCTGTGTTTGATTCCATTTTCCACTTACTGCTATAGCTTTAATTTTGTTTTCTTTCTGTAATTTGTTCTTAACCTTATGCTCTACTGAGACTAGACTAATGGGTTTGCAGCTGCCCAGAGTACTTTGTTTTCTCTCTTTCTGAAATATAGCTCCCTTTTTCCAGCCCTCGCATGCTTACTCTGAATTTGATGGACATGCTGCAAATCTTTGCTCCCAAACCTGCAGTTTCCTCAGCCAGTTTTGAAAAAATGCAAATATGGAAGTGAGGTGGTAAGGTCCAGTCTTGCTGTGATGGAGCTTCTCAAGTTTTGCTTCTGCCTTAATACAATAATTTACTGTTCTCCATTCTTTATTCTATCCTCTTCTCCCACCTTTTTCAGCATCATCCTTATCGAGAAATGATACAAACCAGCTTCAAAGACACAGAGGTGCTTTAGCTGCACTGTGGCGAGCAGCAAAGGTGGTGTGAGGAATGCATCAGCCAAGCACCCACCACAATGCTCTCCTGTGGACTAAATACTACAGTTTAGGCTAATGGGGAGATGCGTTTCTCAAAAAGGGGGCACTTGCAAAGTGACTGTATAATTTCTGAACGAGAACAGAGATCCCCTGAATCTTGTTACAGATATTCTTAACTGCACGACAACATGCAGACACCTAAGACAAGAATCTAAAGGAGTTATTAAAGTTTCTCTGCTTCTGAAGAGGTGAAGGAGGTGTGTGTATGGGGAACTCTCATATGCTGCAGTATAGCTTTAAGTGACATTCCAGTGACTGTGCCATTCAGAAGAACATGGATGTCACAGCTTAAGGAGTCACCCCCAAACCAACCAGGTTCTGCTCTTAGGAGATTCATCTGTATTTGTAACAGAACAAGATGGGTCAAGTAGGGCTACAGAGGGTGGCAAGCCAGCTGGAGAAGAAATGTTCATGTGGAAGGGCTTTACAGATGCTAACGCCACTGTCAACATAAATGCATTTCCACAGAGCCAAGCAAACATACTGCCCTTTTGGCTTCCAGCATTATAAAGACTCGGAATATTGGCTCATGGCAGATCAGCAGCACAAAAACACTGACCCACAGAAAAAATCAGGTGGGAAGGAATTGCCTGAAGTCTCTAGTCCAATTGCCTGCTTACAGCAGGATAACTCCAAAGATACACCAGGTTGTCCAGGGCCTTGCTCATCCAACATCTGAACATCTCCAAGGATGGAGACTCCCCAGGCTTCTACACACCTGTTTCACTGCTGAACTGCTCTCAGGGGAAAGAAGTTTTCCCTTATACAGAATTTCCCTTGTTGCAGCTTATGTCCATTGTTTCTTGTCCTTTCACTATGCTGTTTTCTCAGAGTCTGGCTCCACCTTCTCTACAACTTTACTTCAGCTAGGAGCAGACAGCAATTAGATGCCCCCTTGGCCTTCTCTCTTCAACAAACCCAGTTCCCCAAGCCTTTTCCTTGTGCACTGTGTGCTCCAGCCCTCCACTGTGGGACCTTTTTGTTGGCCACGTTGCAATTTGTCAACATCCATCTTGTACTGAGGAGCCAGCCCTGGGTGTAATCTTTCAAGTGGGGCCTCATACCTCTCAAATGGATGGGAATAATGATTTTCCTTAATCTGTTGACTACACTTTTGCTAATGCAGCCTAGGCTGCAGGGATCCTTCATTGCTTGAAGGACTTACTTACGGCTGAATCATGTTCAAAATGAGAGACTTGAGACTTTCTGTGGCAATCTAATAAAATCCATTTTGGTTTAAGCCTGTTGGGGTTATTGCCACAGAGAAACTATCACCCCACTGGAACAGGTTTTGCCTGTGCACGTGTGGTGTGCTTTGACTGTGACCATGCAAGAGAGATCTCCCTCAAACACTTCTGGTGTGACTGTGATTTTTGCTCTGAGCTGAATGTCCTCAGGCACACGCCCTTGGGCTGTCTTGATGCATCCAGTGGTACTTTTTCCTCCTTCTAAATTATGGGATTCTTATTTGTGGCACATTGGCCAGAAGGTTCAGTAACTAATTGCCCTTACAACAGTGGCCAAATGAGCACAGTCTGTAGCTAAAGTTGATCAATCCCGGCTTACCACGTTCCTGCCCAACAGGGACCCCCACATCCCCAGCTCCAGAGCATTCTACTTCTTTCAGTGAAAAACACTGGATTGTTGTGGCATATACTTCAAATTCCAAAGTGTATTCCAGGTGTGTGGTTCTGCTCCTTGCCCTTAAGAGAGTAGATGCCACTATAATGCAATGATTCAGGCAAGCAAGCATGTGCAGGACAATACGCACTGTAACTCTCCGTTACTGTGTATTTATCAAACCTGAAACAACACTAACCAGAGAAGTTACCAAGCAGGGAAAGATGCAGTCTATGCAGCAGAAAAAAAGCCAGGAATGACGTGCTGAAATGCTCTCTTCTGTGTGCTGCCAGGGGATTTAATCAGCCGATTGCCAAAGAGATGTCAGTTCCCTGAAAGAGTGAGGACAACATGCCTTGCTGAGAAATGTACTCACAAGATTAAAATATCAGCTTCAGGACAAACCTAATATTGTCCCACAAGCAGTTGAAAATTTGGGCAAGAATGAACAGCCTCCGTCCTTAAAATGTGTCACTACATCATCACACCTTCCAAGCCACCTGTCCACCTGCTCAGGTACCCCCAGCAAATTCAGGTACCACTAGAGACAACAGACTAAACACATCAGGCCAGGTCTACCAGCACTAGAAGCCAGCCAGGCAGGATCCCTTGACACAAAGTACCACCAATATTACTGGGATGGCTGTTGCGAACAGCTGTTTACACACAGACAGCAGAGAAAAGGTGTCCAAGCACAGAGCATACAGTGGCATCATGAGCAGGTAGTCTGTAATCATTATTGAAGGTCCAGGGGTGGCCACCTTGTGTTAGAGTGGCGAGGAAAGAGAGAGAAGAAGGAATCAGGCAAGCAGGAAAAGAAGGGAAGAGCTGAGGTGGGAACGTGACAGTCAGATGTGACTGTGGAGGAGGTAACAAGGATAGGAGATGGAACAGGCAGCCAGCATGGAAGTGTGTGTTTGCCACCCTCTGGGGTCAAAGCTTTATAGACGAGCTTGTTACAAAGGTTGTGAGAGAGCAAGTGCCATGGTAACTTTGGGCTCAGCTGACTTTCTCCACACATCTCCATTTCTGAGTTTGTCGGGAGCTGGTGCCCTCAGCAGGAGGTGGGCACCCGGCTGTGCTAGCTGCATGCTTTTACTCCCAGGAGGGAGGTCCCACTAACCTCTACTTACCACCCACTCCAGGGCTCTGTTACATCCTGCAGTCACTTTTACATTGCTGATGGCTTATTTGCTTATTGCACAACTGTAAACCTTTCTCAGTCACTCCCTTTCCAGCTACCAGCTCGGGCTGGCAGTGCTGCTGGGTGAACCCCATGGCTGGTGCAGCGTGGCAGCCCCTCCTCGCACACCTCTGAGCCTCAAGATGTCATGCTCTGAACAAGCTGTATAGATGGAGGCTGTACCAAAATTGACTTTTCTAAAGAAATTAGCTGGTCTGGAAGCAGCCACTGGGCCTGGGGACCTCCACTACATGCATCATGCTACTTGCCCAGAGGTCAGCTCTCAGCCAAGCTTGCCTCTGTGCACAAATTCACCCCCCTGCTGTCCACACCGCTCCTCCCACCCCCAACGCCAGTAATTATACCCAGATTTTTAACCACTGCAGCCCTCAATCAAGCCCAGCTGGTAGATGTTATGAAATGCCAGAAGTCCTAAACATGTGTGGGACACAGACACACCTCACTGGGGAGAAACCTGCGGTGGCAGCCAGGATGCTCTTCCCTGGCATGGAGAAGGAACAAGGGCAGGCAGGATAAGTAAAGAGAGGGCAACAAAGAGCTGGGAAAGAAGGTGAAGAGATCACCTGTACTCTCCAGAGATGTGCACCCTGTCTCTGATTTTGCCTCCTCCTAAGGAGATAAGAGAAATCAAGTGTCTGTGACAGATGTTAGTCACGCTGCCTCACGAGCTACTGAAGGGTGCTCAGCAGTGCAGGGTGGGAGGGGGAGCAGAAAACTCTAGGCACGGTAAGAAAAAATTAACCACTTTGTCCCACTCCTCAGCTGACAATTACCACTTTTCCTTATCCAGTACAGGGCATTTTGACAAGCTCTCTCAGCTACCAAGTCCAGGCCAGCCCTCTTCTTGGAGGAGACTCTTGGTCTTATTTCTTTCTAGGCAGCATGGAGAAGGAAGAGGAGGAGGAGAGAGGAGAGAAGAGAGTAAGGAGAAAAGCTGAGAGGCTACAGGGGCCTCCAGAGCAAAGAAGAGGCAAAAGAGACATCAGTGCCAGGCCAGAGTTCCTCTTCCAGGGCATAAGATTGAATACACTTGCCGCGTTGCAGAATGAGGAGAGAAATGTCACCTTCAGAGGTGATCTGACAATCACAAAAATAAATTACATAGAGGAGGGAAAAAAAGGAAGGAGATGAACATTTGTGAATATTCATGAGCAAGTCAAAACTTCCAAATTAACAAGGAAATTAATTTTCAAACTGATTAGGCTGCCAACTCCTTTTATTTAAATAAATCAACAATTGCCTTCATGTGACTCCTACTGAAAAACGCAGAGCTAATCCTGGCTCCTCTCAGGAGGAAGTTTTGTGCTGCCTGGGATGACCAATACCCCAGCACCTTCTGGGGACAGGCGGGCACTGCGGCTCCAGCCACCTGCCTCTCAACTGCCAGGAGATTTCCCTTTGCCCACCGCTCCGGATGTTGCGGTTTCACGATCGCCCGGGCCAATCTAACCACTGGCTGCTACAGTCATGCTCTCCCTGGTCCCACCCTGTTACTCATGCTGGCTCTGAGAAGCTGTTCCAGCATGCCAAGCTGGCAGAAAACTCATTGCAACAATTAAAAAAAAAGATTTCTCCCAAGTTAGAGCACTGAAATGGCACAGCCCAGTGAGCAATACCACAGGTGAGGAAGGTAAAAGCTAACCTGAAATGGGAAATGGGCTCAGTGCCGAACTTAGCCAGTGGTGGAATGAAGTAGATGATATCTAAAGGTCTCTTTCCACCAAAATTGGAGTGTAAGGCAGGGCAGAGCTGCAACAGCCAGCTTGGCTTGGTGATCTTACAGGGTGTCTCCAATTTGGGGTGGGGGCGATCAGCCAGCCTGGCTTAGTGATCTCATGCAGTGCCTTCGTGTCTTCTCCAGGAACAGCCTCATGCCTTCTCCTGCACCATCACCAAGGCTCAAGGGACTGCCTGCTGCTTCGAGCACAGTAACTCAGGCTGCACAGCAACACGCCAGGTAGTGCCAGCACATGGGAGACAGGGGGAAACTGCCAGCCAAAACTTGGGTGGGTTGAATCTGGAAAATGGAATTCTAATGAGTGAGAACAAGGGTGAGTTGCAGCCCCCTCTGAGGTCATGAACAGTTATAAATTAAAAAATTAGTAGCTGGGCATGGTTATATTGAGCCACTGGCTTGTAACTGTGGACTCCAGGAGAGTTAATCCTGTTCCTCTCCATGCCTGGCCTCACTCTCCTGTTTTCTAACAGGACTTGTGTGACTGAGATGGTCCAGTTTACCGACCTAGCAGAAAAACATCTCACCACAAGTCTGCTCTGTTGAGTTAGCGTGTTTGGGCGGGGAAGCCCAATAGCCAGCACACAGGAAGGGGCAGGCAGGGACTGTCCCAGGTGGTGGCTATGATCCTTTGGGTCAACCCATCTGTAACAATTAAGCTGCCCCATCCAGCCCGAGCCGCCCCAGCAACCCCCTCCCACGCTTCCACCAGACAGGCTCCAGCCGGGCCCCTCTGCTGCTGGGCCCCGGGGCGCACCAGGTCGGCGGGCAGCCGCACCGAGGCGCCCGCTGTCATGCAGGGCCCCGGGCGGCCCCGTAACCCTGGCGGTTTGTTTGCAGAGACGGCTCTGGAAGGAGGAGAAATGCAAGAGGAGGGAGAGTGAGAGGGGTAAGGAGCTCCTGGAGCTGCGTGAGTGACCCCCGCCCCTCGCTTCGGGGGCTCCCTCCGGGCCGCGCTGTGGGGAATCGGGATGGGGTGGGATGGGCCGCAGGTCGCGGCGTTGGGGGCTCGAAGCCCCTTAAGCTTCAGGGTGCGAGAGAGGGGATTGACCGCCTGGAAGGCGCTGAGGTGCAGGGTATATCCCTTGCCAGGCACCTGTTCCGGCCAAACCTCGGTCGGTTGGGGTGGAGGCTACACACATGTCGGGAAACGGCACCAAAGTTGTTCTAGCTCTGGTGTGTGGGTTTGGGATTCAGGACTTTGTCCGGCATGTTTGGGGTATTCCTGATGTGCATCCAGATGTGCTTGTTCTAAAGATGTAGTGGCGCTTGTACTTTTTGGTGCTTTTGAGCTTTGTGGAAGCATTTTTACATTTGACCTAACGGCCTGCATGGCCTTCAGCATCCTTAGTATTTTGCAGCAATTAAGCCTACAAGCTCCGTGTTATTGAGCAAAAGGTCTGGGGCAGACATAAAACGACATTGTAAATCACACCCGAGTGTCGTATTCGGGGCCTTTTGTCAACTGAAAACTCCACCAAATAGAAAATAAAAGCTAGGTATCTGGAGAATAAAGAAAAACATATTAAAAGTTCAACCTCTAAATACCTGCGTATCCAACCTTGATTGTGCCTTCCAGAAACACAGCCTCTACCTCACCGTGTACATGCACGTGCTTTTATCTGTCTGTTTATGATTAAAGTGATGACCTGCAAAGAAGTATAAGCCCAGCACGTTAAGTATGTGATTCTGTGAAGTACTCTGAGATCTAAACTCCAGATTCCTTGTCCCTTGTGAGTTCGCTGGTTCACTTGGTTGTTTATTTGGTGTATGTACATTTGTGGTCTGTACATAGAAGGTGTTTTTGGTTTATATCAGGAGGGTACGTTGACATCTGTCTGATACTAGACTGGTGAATAGGAAGAAGGTCCCATCTCTGGCCTGTTTGTGGAAGCTGGGATGATGAAGGCACTGCAGTGGGAACATGCTGTGGTACAGGGTTGAAGCTCCAGCCCATGTCTGGTAGTTATAGAGCAATTGGAAGGGTTACGTGCAGAGTTCTGGTAAAGTAAGTGTAAGCAGTGTTAAAGTGGGGACTGCGAATAGGGGTGCATGTTTTCAAAATACCCTTTAGCCTGAAAGTGGGATAGGGGAGGGACAGCTGGGGGTCTTAGGGCAGTAGTTTGGTGGAGGAATCTTACCTTTGTTTTCTCCCTTTGGAAGACTGGCTTGCTAGTGAGATTGCATGAAAGCTTCAACTCTTACACCATTTCTCCTTTTCCTCCGTATTCTTATAACTTCATCACACTTCAGCCTTTCAAGCCAAAAGTTTTGAGGCCTGATGTCTGCCCAAGTGTGAAGTTTTGTGGATGGGGAGGTGGATTTGAAGAGTAATTAAAACAGTGTAGTCATCTTTTGAGAATCAATGAGAGCCTTATTTTGACTTGTGCACTTTGTAAATTGAGCAAACAAAAGTTAGGTGCTCTCTGAAGTTCTGGTGTAGGACTAGATGGGGACAGGCAGCCAGTGAGTGCTGTGGCCTGTGCTAGTCTGGATTTTAGAGTCTGGAAATGGAGTTGCCTTTCATTCCTTTTTAAATAAGAAAGCTGTTGTGAGATTTTTGTTTAAACTGGCATCCTTCTGTTTAACTCCTGAAGTTTGTAGTTGAAGCCAAGGGAGTCTTGGACCATTACAAAGTTTATTTGGAAAATGCATCTGATGAGACTTCATGTTTTTATGGAATCAGGTTCACTTTGATGTTTTTGATGTGGAAGCTAAGCAAATAAGGGTTTACTTATTTTAAAAACAAACACAAACAAACCAAACCCCCTAAAAACCCCTCTTGATTCAGGTGGTGTCCAGTTGCCAAGAATGTGTTATCTCTTCATGTGTGCCCATCCTGTGGAAGAAAAAAGTAATGTAATTAAGGTTACAAACTTAGAGCCTTGCTGTGGGCAGTGTACTTAATAATTAATTTCGCTCAGAAAAGAACGCAGAGGAAGGAAGGTAAGAGTCTTGCTCCATCAGATTCTGATTGAATCACAGCAATGTAAATCCACAGTAATTCAGTCAGGCAACTAGCTGTCTGACTGCATGCCACTGATGCAAGGTAAATAATTCATCCTTAAGTGTGTTTATTGGTTGATTTGTAGTGAGTGTGTGAGGCAGGAATACGTGGCTTGGCTGTTGCGTGAACAATTCATAAAAACAAAATTATCAGGTAATTTGATTCATTTAAATACTGCTTCTCTACATAGAGGAAAAACTGTCTTTGCATTTTGGCTCGCACGAAGCAATTCCACATGTATTTATTCTGCCCTAATATGTTTCTGGAAAGTGTTTCATGCTACTCAGGGCATGCTCCTCAGCTTATCTGATGATTGAGATAGGCCCTTAAGAAACAATATTTACTTGTTAATTAGACTACTGCCACATCGTAACAAAAATAGGAGTGGGACAATTTGCAGATAGCTGCATGAGAAACCTACAGTGCTTGCTTTGCTGAAGCAGCTTGCTCTGCCAGATGTTCTCTGAACATAGTTTTTATCACATGTATTTTACCTGCCAGTTTTGCTGTAGTTTTTCAGGAATAGGTGTATCTTCTGCTTCAGGAAATAGTATTTTGTTAATGTCTTAAGGTTTTGGGTAGCATTTTCACAAGTGTAACAAAGTTTGTCTGCTGATGTTATTACACAGAGGAATGCAAGAATTAGAAGGGAAAGGACTTCTTCAGCCAGGTGTTCCTAAAGAGATTATGCCTCTGTCTTCAGAGGGCTATCTTTTGGTGTCTAACTGGTCCTCTGACTGCATGGAGTGTTGAGAAAAAGCAGTGGGCACTTGGCTGGGGACAGAGTCGTACAGAATCTTGTCACAAAGATGGGAATGAAATGGGCAATAGGGAGCTGTGTCATGATCTCACTTGGAAACAGGGTATCTCAGGAGCAGGGTAGTCAGGTTATTTTCCTACTGCCTGGTCTCATTGGATGAGAGCAGAGGATCTTGTCTCTCAGGAATATTGAGTGATATTTCCGGGTTTCTTTTGAGGTTTGGGCTGGGGTGGGCAGAGCAGTGGGCAGCAGGAAGTTAGGAGCCTTAAGTTTGACTTCTTGGTCTGCTGTGGCTGTGTGTTATCTTGGGCAAGTCTGTTTCCCTCTTTCTGCCTGTCCTTCTTCCTGTGTAACATAATGCTAATGTCCCCTTGCTGCATCTGGGTCCTTAGTGTTGAGCTGGGGTGGAGGGACAGGCAAGGTCCAGAATTTTCACTGCTTGTGGGGTCACACTGTAACAGTGCAAATGGGTTTTCCGCTGTATTTGCCTGGTTGCAGATGCACAGATTTTGTAATTTATGCCACATACTTGGGTGGATGGTAATTGGGGAATTTTGGAGGTGTTCTGGGTTTGTATTCAATCCTTTATTTGCATGGAGGACTGTTGGGCAGGAGGCACTTGAGATGGACCCAAGCCTGTGGGAATAGCAGCTGCCTTTTTCCCCTGAAAATAATTTTTGGATTTGAGCAGATAGCTCAAAAGTGGGGAGAAGTTGCTTGAGTAAGACAGGGGAGATTAAGGAACTGTCGCAGTGTTAGACTGAGTCAGTTCCATGTTGGAGTCTCTTTGGGTTTAATGTTCTTTTTGTGTGTGTGTCTGTCTGTCTGTCTTCCTTCTCCTCCATTCCTCTTCCCTTCCCCCTTCCTCTTCCCCCCTGTGCCCAGCTAGGATGGAAGAATCTCATTTCAACTCCTCCCCGTACTTCTGGCCAGCAGTGCCCACCGTCTCGGGACAGGTAAGATCTTTGTCTTCCAACCTATTACTCTGGTCTTGCTTCCTTTTAGAAGTTCTTGCATGATAAGTGTTTCTGTTGCATTCCTTGCTCAGCCAACTGCTGGGAGAAGCTGTAGCAGGGTATTCTAAAGGCCGTTCTTCCCACACGGTTTAGATTGAGAACACCATGTTTATTAACAAGATGAAGGAGCAGCTACTGCCCACGGAGAAGGGCTGCAGCCTGGCCCCCCCCCACTACCCTGCCTTGCTGACAGTACCCACCTCTGTGGCCCTACCCACTGGGATCTCCATGGACTCAGACACCAAGCCGGAGCAGCTGACACCACACAGCCAAGCCCCTGTGACTCAGAACATCACCGTGGTACCAGTGCAGTCTGCTGGGCTCATGACAGCAGGTAGGGAACTCCAGAAACTTCAGCCACCCACTGGGTTGGGGGGACAGGGTGTCCTAGAGAATCCTTTTTGGGCTGTAGGTTATTCCTAGCCTTCCAGATGGTATGGACTGCCTTGGCGTGGTTTCATTGTGAATCTCTAGGCACTCCACACATTCACCCCTTCGGGGAAGTTTGACTTCCAGCAGTGGAGACTGGGAACGTGTTGGGGAGGGTAAGGTGCTCTTCTGTTTGCATTGTGGGCAAAAGTAGGTGTATAAAGCTTCTGTGGGATAAGGAGGTTGGGTGTAACCAGAGATGTAATAACTGACTTCCTCCATCTTTCTTTGTTTGCAGGTCCTGGTCTGGTGATAACTTCCCCATCAGGTTCCCTGGTGACCACAGCCGCCTCTGCCCAAACCTTTCCCATCTCAGCTCCCATGATTGTCTCTGCGCTCCCCCCTGGCTCCCAGGCAGCCCTCCAGGTGGTTCCTGACCTGTCGAAGAAAGGGACAACCACCCTCTCCGAAGGTGGTGGGGGTGGCGGGGGTGGGGGAGTTGCCCCCAAACCACCCCGGGGCCGGAAGAAGAAACGATTGCAGGAGTCGGGGCTGCCGGAGATGAGCGACCCCTTTGTGCTGTCAAACGAGGATGATGAGGACCAGCACAAGGATGGCAAGACATACAGGTGGGGAGTGGGGTTAAACCTTGACTGCATGGGGATGGGGGTGTATTTAACCCTTCAGAGGGTCATGTGGGGAAGAAGACATCTCTGCCTTTTCCCCGTAGAGTCCCTGAGTAGAGAATCTTCCAGCTGCAGAAAGAGTTTTCTCTCTAGTCAAGAGTGTTTGCAATCTGGTGGGTTGACCCAAAACTAAGGATCTCCTTCTTAGTGGAGACAGCCTTGATTTCCCAAATATACAGATGTTAGTGTTACAGGATAGTTAATGACCAGGATATTATGGAGGAAAAACTGTATCCTTGATGCCACAGCCAGGTAGTATGGCTGGTGTACAGCAAAATGCAGCTCTGAGAGCCCTCGTGTTACCTGGGTGCTCCTGAATTAGGACTCCAGTCTGTCCAGTGTAAAGACTGCAAACTGGAGGCACACAGAGCAGGAAGTGAACTGTGGTGATAGTGTTTGCTCCTGTTTGCGTTGCCCCTGGTGATCTCCTCCTATTTCAGCATTCCCAACAAAATATAAAAAAAGGTGCATTTCCGAATTAGGTATAAGGGTGTTTCTGAGCCCTAGGGGTATCAGATAAGAGGGGGGGAGAGTTCTGAGCCCTGAGGTTGGGTTTCTGAGCTTGGAGGGATGTGGCTTGAGTTTACAAGCAAGTGGTCAGAAAGGGAGAGATTAGCTAGGAGGAAATACTTAAACCAGAGGTTAAGGAGTGTGGGTGTTTTAGAGAAGGTGGGAACCGGACAGAGCAGGCAAGGGCTAGGGAGGAAATGTGGTGGTCTGTCTTAGTTAAGAAGCAGGAGCATGTAGGGGTGATTAAGCAGTAGGTTCTGAGGCACTGACTATTGATTAAGGTCAGTAAGAGGCAAAGTAGTAGCAGCCAGGTGGAAACAAATAGATGATCCCTAGATCTTCTCACTTTCCTACTATGTGCCCATGATTACCATCCTAGACCCTCTTTTTTTCTTTTTGTACAGATTTAGTTATGTTTCTGGAATTAAGTCAATATGAACACACAGAATCAGTGCATCCACCCCAGGCACTGTTTCATTTTTAACTAAGCATTTGTTAAAATGTTTACATTTTTAAATCCATACGGTTAAATGGTTACAAAACCAGAGCCTGGATCAGCCTTTTTATTCTCTTACCCAATGTCCCAGTTCTTCCACTTTGAAAATATAATCAGCGTATGGTGCAGAGGGGTGGGAGTGTTAGGTAGCTTGCTATTTGTAATCCCACCATTTATTTTGGGCCTTAGCCACAATTCCACACTACTCAAGCTGCTTACAGTCTGGGTTGCTAATTAGGTTGTTAAATATGTATTTACAGGGGACACAATTGGCAGTGAATGCTAGAATTAAAGCTGAACCAAGGCTTTAATTATAGCTCCTTGTTTACTTGTAAGTTTGGAAAAAAATGCCCAAGACCAGGTGGAGTGACTCAGCAGAAACTTTATGAACACGCATAGTCTGTGTAACAGCTCATGAAGAAGACTTCGCAGGGAGAAAAACGAATGAGTTTATATGTAGGAACATGTAATCAGGAAGATTTCCTGTCTTCATGTTTAGTCCGAGTGCAGTGCCTTTGCCTCTTCTTCAGCCCCCATCCCAAGCAGGCCTTCCTCTGAGCAGTGTAAGGTGCAAGATGGCTAAATTGGGATTTACTGAAGATCACCAAAGAGTACTTCTGCTCTCCTTGGGATCACCTCTTTGGCTGATGCTTCCTATGTGCAAGTTTGGAGCTAAAAATGATTGTTGTGAAAACAAAGGAAAATGCTGTCTTCTCTTGGAGTTGTGGGAGAGAAAACCTTTGTTTCTCCATAATATACCTATGAACAGACTGGGAAGTTAAAAACTTTGAGAACTCCTGGGTTCATTCTGTATTCTAGAGGATGGTTTGGGTAGTTCCCATTACTACAGTATGCAGACATATACTAGCTAAATTAGGACTGTGGGTGAGGTTCATCTTCTCTTGCTCCATTCTCAGGCTGAAAGAGGAGTTGCTTGTGGTATTCATATGTCTACATTTGTATGATTTCACTCATTCTCAGGATGATGCACTGAGGACAATCTAATCAGATACCTGGAAGGAATTGTACTATACTGATCAATGTGACAATTTTTTTTTAAATCTAATTTAAAATTTTTCTTCAAAATTTAAAAAAAAAAACAACAAACAATTCCCAAAGCCTGGTATTATTTTGTCAAATTTTGTTTTGTTTTGTTTTAATTTTCTTTGGGCTCTGTGAGCTCTCTTGTCCTGAGTGCCTGGGCAGGCAGCTAATTGCCATAATTCCTGACTCTTAGTGTGTTTGTGAAGATGGAGTAAGGTCTTGAATGGACAGCACAGCAAAGCAGACTTGGAATGAATTGGAGCACAAAGGTGATAGACTTATTGCAGCTCATCCTATTCTTTATTGAATGTAGAGATTCCTGCTCCAGCTGTTTTGCTGCTGTATCATCTCTAGAAGCAAATTAGTAGTCTGCTGTGAAAATAGTGCCAGAATCTTTGTGACTAGGCTTTTCTTTGTAGGAAGAGGTATGAGGCTTTTGCTAATGATGGTGGTGCTTGCAGATCTTGGACACTTAGCCGTAGGATTAGTCTGGCATAGTCCTTGGTGCTTTGCTTCATGCTATTAGAATTCTTGCACCTGCAGGGGACAGCATCTAACCCAGTCCTGTGAAACATGGGGGGGGGGGGGGGGAAGAATAAGCAGCTGAGGGACATAGGAAGCTTCTGAGATTAATTCAGTGTGCAAAAGCGTACAGAAGGCTTAGCAAGAAACAGAGTTGAGCTGTAGAAGGGGAAGTATCTGGATGGAGGCCCCCTTTAGTGAGAAAATTAGGTACACAAGGGGAGCCAGTGGTTTGAATACAGCAGATGGGTGTGTTCTCAGACGTGTCCCATTTTAAGCCTTTTTTTTTTTTTTTTCTGCCCTGTACTGGATTTAGCATTGGTGTTTGGTGAACTTCCCATGGTTTTGAATAGATTTGAAATCCGGTGGCTATGGCTTTTGTAAGCCACATACTTCTGTGAAAACATGATCAAATTTGGCCAAGTTGTAGGCTTGGGAAAAAAATCTCTTAAGCGTGCTCTGGGATGCTTTACAGTTTGGTAGTTAAAATATGCAAAGGTTATATCCTCTTCAGTGTTTCTTGAGCCTTGCGTGACTCCAGGCACTGACTAGGCGGTCTGTCTCCACAAGAGAGATACACTCTAACCTCTCATTTTCTGTATGAGGCTGGACTACACGTGCACTCCATCTGCACCGATAACCATCTAGACTATGGCTGAAGGGCCAAGCGTGCTTTTCCTTCAGTCACAACTGCTCCTCCTTCTGCTTCAGAAGGGAGTCTTCTGTGCCCAGTGTTGAGAGGAAACTCTCCACTCTGGTGGGTACAAAGGCACATTGTGAGAAGAAACTGCTTGGTTCAAATGTAGTAGGGACAAGAAAGAGATATGGGCAGGGCCTGGAGCTGATGGTGTCCAGGAGGTCTAGAAGCTTGGTAGAGCAGAGATGGCAATCAGAAAGAAGCAGATACAAAATGGGGAATGTAGTAGAGAGTGTGATAGGAAGCCTATTTGCAAGGGAGAGATGGCACAGAGATAAGCTATGAAGGGCCAAGACTGAGGGGGGAAGGGAGAAAGAACCAGATATGCTAGGGGCTGGAAAATGAGAAGATGCCTGGATTTAGCAGAACTGATGGGGACAAGAGCATGGGATGTGGACAAATAGAAGTGCAGGGAGAGGAGAGAAATGTTAGGTAGTTGAGGGAGTGAAATATGTAAGAGCCACTGCAAGCAGAGGATGAAGAGTCTGGGGGGTGTGGGTAAAGAGCTTGGGCTTGGGTCTTGGTGTGGGAGAGAGGGGATTGCAACAGCCTAGAAGGCTGAGGGCAAAGGGGGAATTATGTTTGAGAAGTCAGGCAGAAAGTTTGACCACATTCCCTCCAAAGCCTAGAAATATTAAAGCCAGTATTTCTAAATTTCGCCATGTCTCTTATGTCAGCTCAAGAATGTGACCTCCTCTGGCAAAGAACCTCACCCCCCCTCTAAGGCGAGAAAGAGGTGACAAACTACCGTTGCTGTCATTTATCATCCTAGCTGCAGTGGCAGAGGTCTGTGCAGTGGATCTTAAGATTGCTGATGACCAACATGGGTGTCAGTGTGATGCCACATATTGGAATTTCTGTTTGCTTTTTTTAACAAGTCGTTCCGTGAGCAGCGGAACTAATGAAGCCTGGTTTCCAGCGGCTCTCTCCTGTGTGGATTCTCTGATGTCTAATCAAGGGTGAGCTTACTAGCCTTTCCCTCAACAGGGGCCTCCAAGAGGGTCTCTCATCTTTCCCCAGCTGCATATTTTTATGAAAGTTGTGGTGACTTTAAGATCCTTACCCCTTTTCCAGGTTTGGTTGAAATTGGCTTATGAACTTAAAACTCTTAAGGAAGACAGGTGCACATGCATATCCATGTATACACACACAGTTCATACACATAAGCTTTGCTTTGTATGTGAACACTGTGCTTGGAGGTTATAAAATGTCAGAATTAAGACTGACCACATGCTTCAGGATATAATAAGGTAAAAACTTGCATTATTATAAGTTCTCTCCCTTCTGCTGAGATTGTAACTCTGTGTGTGTGCATGTGCACACTCTAAGTTCATCATAGTGCCAAGCAGAAGGAATTCACAGTTAAGGTTCTGCAGTCATGAGTTTTCATTTTAGCACATGTTACTTGCATGTCAATGGAATGAGTGTGTGCAAGGGAATGAGGGGGGCAGTTACAGTTTCAACTGGGAAGAGAGAACTTTGAAACTATTCTGTTGAAGGTCTTATCTGATCACACCTTAATTTGGCCCTGTTGAGTCAATGCACTTTGATACCATCCTTGATTATGTGATTGTAGTTACTGTGTACATCACGACCCACTGGAGTCCTGCATGTTTACTCAGAGAACCTTAATGTTTTATTTAAAAAAAAAAAAAAAATTGACAAGGGATTACA